GCCGGGACGTCCAGAGGCCCGGGGACCGCGTCGTGGAGAGGAGGGGGATCTGGAGGGGAGGGATGGAGGGTACAGGGTTCGTGATTTTGACGGTGTTTTGTTTTGTTTCAGGCCCGCTCATACTATATTCCCCATGCTCCCACCAGCTGTTCACGGCTGCCAGGGACCACTCATACCCAGCCGTTCATTTTCAAAGCCGCGCATGCCCAGACTCGTGCATCCATATTTGTACCCACCCACAACCAGACTCACTCGCACTCATACCCACGCGTGCTCAATCTCTTACACCCAGCAGTCATACCCAGACCTACTCTCACCCAGTCACCCAGACCCGCCCACATGCAGTCATCCATATTCAGATGCACTCATCATCAGACTAATCAGACGCACTGCCCACACTGAGACTTGCTCATGTTAGACACATATTTGCATTCGGGTCCGCGATCAATGCAGGTACAACGCACGAGAAGTGCATACGAGCATGCAGTATCAAGATTGACATCCAAACGTGCTGCAAACAGCACGCCTGCGGCTAAAGCTGTCAGAGACACCGACGCATTGTTGCAACCATCCACGCACTTCACGTCGCAACCACCCGAACCATTGCCAAACGCAAAGACCACACTTCGGGGTCCACAAGTCAGCTCGAAGTTGGCAGGGTCATGGATTGTGGGCCACACTGAGTCCAGCATGCTTGCTTCGACGCCATTTGTGCAAGTGTTTGAAGCGCAACCTTGACAGTGCAATGTCATGCACGGTGGTTGGAAACACAATCAGAACGTCTTCAGTGCCAGTCGATTGAGCCAAAACCCAGTAAGCTCAAACAGGTGAAGCCTGCAAACCACAAGCCTCGATCATGGTCAAGAATATTATTTCAGTCACTGAGTCGGACGCGTCGACACGAGAACCGCTCGCAGAAACCCTGAAGCGAGTCAGGCAACTCACCATCGGGACTTTCACCAAGCAGGTCGTGACGCGTCCCAACGAGCGCCAGACGCGTTCGCTTCGGAAACATGGCAACCTCGCAGAATGTGGCCCGAGGGCTATGATATGGGAAGTAGGGTTTGAGCCCACCTGTACGCGCTGCCCAGAGGTCGAGAGGGGGGGGAAGGCAGGCGTCGCGTGAGCGGCCACGGCAAAGCTAGCTTGGTTGACGCTCACCGTCGCCAAGGAAAGTCTATAGCACGGCGTCCGCTCCTCTGCTTGCAACTGGCGTAGCTTGCAATCTAAACGTGTTATGATTGGCCCGATGGGGGAGCATGCTCCGCTCTCTCGCTATCGTGTTGGAGGCGGGCGATCACTCGATGCATGTCGCCAGTGCTGAAAAAGCAGTGGACTTGCGAAGTCGGAGAGTCACTGTCTCCCAGGCGGAACAGGAGCGGATTGCGTCTGCAGCGTGTATGCGACATCTGCATTTCGCCGCGATTGTAAGCGTCACCACGGGGATCCAGATGCCATGCCTGCTGGCTAGTCCACCTCGCTCGTGCAGCTGTCGATGCCAGCTCAGCGTGCGCGGACAAGTACGCCATGGTCTTTGAGGAGCACCAGTCCTTCTGTCGGCGTCAAAGTTTCTTCTATTTCTGGGAGCAGTCTACGCACACGCGTGTTACCAGGATCATAACGTGGCCGTCTCCACCGAACAGGTTCGCGATGTGTTTGGCACGGGCGGGGCGTCAGTAGAGAACTCCCAGTGGGAACGCTGCAGCGTCTCTCCCTCGGGGTGTCCCAGACATGGGGAGTGGCAGTCGTCAGCGTAGCCGAGCCGAGCCGCTCCCGCAGGGTCCCGGAGAAGTTTGTTCGCCCGGTGACGCCCTCATCGCGACGGGGTGGCGCATCCCAGTTGAACGTTCCCAGGAACCATTACAAGAGGCCCGCAGATTGTCAGAGTCGACGCGGTGATACACTCACATTTTCTCGAGAATTGCGTATGGCCCCGATTTCTGGCCAGGGAGCATGCGTAGTACGAGCCGTTGTCTGCAGCCAGTGGACGCGAACAAGGGGGGTTAGGGACGGAGAGAAGTTGTAAAGATAAGCGTAGATTAGGTACAAAATGAACGATCACACGCACACGTGCACCCGCATACATGCCACTGGTAGTTGAGACTTGACAGCCGCAACCACAGTCAATTACCCACCACAGCCTAACAATTACCTTCACCTAGGTGCTCCCAGAAGCCTACTGGCGGCACCCCATATGCACCCATTCGTTTTTGGGCGCAACTCCGCGCACGCACGCCCAGAGAAGCGGCGCTTACCGTCCTGACGCGGGTCTGCGCGCGAGCAGACGAAATATCGCGTTCGCACAATCGCTATGCAGATTTTGTCTGAAAGTGGTGCTCCCGCCTGGGCGTGGCGCCGTGACAGCCCATCATTCTGGGTGGCGACTGTTCGAGGGTGGGGGAGCCGTGATGATGATGGTGATGGTGACGTTGATGATGGTAATGAGGATGGTGATGCTGATGGTGATGGTCCTGGTGGCGGTGCTGATGATGATTCTTATCGTTATTGTGAGTTTGATTTCGATAATGATGTTGGTGCTGGTGTTGATGTTGAGATTGCTGCCGTTTATGTGGGTGGCGGTGTCGGTGATGGTGGTGATGATGAAAAGGATGATGCTGATGAGGATGACGATGAGGAGTCGGATGATGGTGGTGGTGATGATGAGGAGGAGGAGGAGGAGGAGAAGGAGGAGGAGCAGGATCAAGACGACGATTTTGAGGAAGAGGAAGGGCGTCACAGGTGACACGTTTCGTCTTCATTAAGTGTGGAGCTCTCATGGAACTCGTTTGGGTTGTCTCGGGGCTGCCTTGGCCTCCTGTGAGGCAGTCTTGGGGGTCCGTGAGGGCCCCACACGCAATTTTAGAGGTGTAGGTGTCTGGGGACTGTCGTGGGGCCGTCTTTGGCAGTCGAAAGGCCGTCTAAGGCCGTCTTTGGTTCCACGGGAGGCCCTCTTGGGCCGTCTTGGGCCAGTCTTGAATGCCTCCTGGGCTATCATGGTACTTCTCGAGCCATTTTTGGATCCTCTTGGGGCCTCTTGGACCGTCTTGGGGCCATCGTGGATGCTTCTTGGGCTGTCTTGAGCTGACGAAGCCCCGAAAAGGCGAGAATGCGAACATCATGCAACAAAAATGCGAAACCATTTTTGGGGTATCTTCGGGCCTGGTTGGAAGTTCTCCTCTGGCCCTTTGGGCCCACTTGAGGGCCGTCTTGAGACCATATTGGGCCAGATTGGGGCCATCTTGGGCCATCTTCGAGGCATATTGGGCCGTCTTGGTGTCCTTGGTTTCATGCATTGGTCGTCTTGGAATCTCTGGACGTGGATTGTTTCAAGGGATCGCGCGAAGGAGCTCAATCCTGTTTCTGCCTCAGCGCCGCGTGCGGATTTCCCGGGAATCCTGCTTCGCTCATGCGCGGCCCATTCCGTGACCCTTCTTGCTCGAGGTGGCCGCACTGGCCCAGGCGTCTGCCCCCCAGGCAGCCTTGGACTGCTCTCCGCATCGTGATCGTTTTCTTATCTATTATTTTGCCGATCGGCGCTGGCCCTCGCACCCCCCCTCCCACCCCCTCGTGGAGTAGATCTCCCTCCCCCCTTCCGCCCATTGTCGAAACGCCGAGCAAGAAGCTCTGGACGTGGACTGTTGCAAGGGATCGCGCGAAGGAGCTCAGCGTGCGGATTTCGCTGGGATCCTGCTCCCGCTCGTGCGCGGCCCCTTCCGCGGCCGCTTTCTTGCTCGAGGTGGCCGCACTGGCCCAGGCGTCTGCCCCCCGGACAGCCCCGGCCTGCTCCCCGCATCGCACACTTGCCGTGGCCATGATGCGTCCAGGAGCGGCCAACGAGATCTACACACAGACGTGGTCGCGTCGTGAAAAGCCAGGACGGGAGTTTTTTATTTGTTTCGGCCCCATGGGGCCCTCGCCGGGCCTCGGGACCGTCAAGAAACGACTCAGGAGGAAAAACTGGTCCCGGGGAAAGGGTCGGGCCTCCCAGGGAGGCCGTCCTGATAAAACGAAGACGTCGCATGTCCGGGTGCATCTATCCACTGCACCCTGGCCAAGCCCATCCTGCACCCATGAGCTGCGTGCACGCCCTCCTGGCCAAGCCAGGGGGGCGCGGCGTAGACACCGCTGCTGGGTTCAGCCTGGGCCTGGCCAGGGAGCAGTGGATATATGATGTATAGGCCTCGCCGCCCTGCAGGAGCACACGCTGGCTTCCACACGCCGCCGCGGAGCCCGAGCTTCGCGAGCGCCGGCCCCGCGAGTGGCCCGCCGCTGCCGCCGCCCACCAGCGGGCCTGGCGCGCCGGTGCCGCCCTGGCTGGAGGGCCACCCCAGCAGGCAGACCGTGCCCCAGCAGCTGCTCGGCCAGGGCGGCTACGGCGCCGCCGCCCCGGCATCGACGCCGGCGCGGAAGTCGGAGGAAGAAAAGGCATCCAGACCTCTGCCCTCCTCTGGGCCTCCGCCGTCGCCGCTGCTGGATTCACCTCGAGGTCCTGGTCAGAGCGCACCTCTTAGGAGAGGTCCGGGGAGCAGCGGTATGCGTGCCTTTTGGCTTCCCCAGGAAGGGCCTGTGGGTGCCACCGCCAGGCCGGGCCCGACTGAACGCGGTGGCGATACTGGTCTCCCTCGTGGTGCCTTGGGGGCTTTTCTGCGCCGTCTTCTGGGCGCTGTCCTTCTCGCTGCACTACGAGAGGCTCAGGAGGGGAAAAAACACACAGACACAATCAATCCTCGATTCCCAGGAAAACACCGGAAAATATGGACACTGGGGGGGAAGACGAAAACCCAGAAAATGTAGGAAAATAATTAGAGGGAATCCTGGGATCTGTGCGTAGATATTTGCGTGTCCCAGGGCCCCTTTAGAGGCCGGTGTTTGCCTACGCCGTTGTGTTCGCGGGTCTGCTCGCTGTGCTGATCAGCGGCGGGTACGCGGCCGCCGAGGCGAAAAAGAAGCTGGCAGGCGCGGGGAAGGTCCCGACGTGGTACGTGTTCTTCTTCACTACAATGCTGGTGGTCGGCGTCACCCCAACGTACTTCTACTATATGTGCGTCGCCCCCCCAGGGGCGAGACGCGCGCACCGAGAACTCTTATAGTATATGCGTCGTGGCGGGCGCTTTCTGGCCACACCGCTCGGGAAACGATGGACTACAAGATGGGTAAAATATATGTTCGGGTCGGACGTGGGCCTCCAAGGAGGACATATAGTGTTAGTATGTCCCTGTGCATCCCAGGTGGCATGGCTTGCTGGAGTGATCATGGGCGACGCCAACTTCTTCCTGAACTCGCAGCCCTTCTACGACATGAGCAATCTGGGCTCGTACGAGAATATAGACCCGTCGCTGTTCAGGGGCCAACAGCTCATGGATGCGGGCCGCATCTCGTTCACAAACAGCACGAAGATCGACCTTCGGCGAGCGATGGCCTTCAGGAACCAGGACATGTATTGCGTGGCTCCGATATCGATCACCCACCAGAACGGAACCTTCCAGACTCTCCAAACGTATGACTTTTGGGCCGTTGGGGTCGGCTGCTGCTCCGGGAACAACCCCGACTTCCACTGTGGCGAGTTCAACAACCCGAGCGCGCGCGGTGGCCTGCGGCTGATGCGCGACGGCGAGCGGGCCTTCTTCCGGCTGGCGGTGCAGCAAGCCGAGGCCACGTACAACATCAGGGCGGTGCACCCGCTGTTCTTCACCTGGATGCAGGAGTAAGTCGGGCATGTCCCTGTACAGGCGGAATCTCCAAAAATAGGCAAATAGATTCTGGCCCAGAATATATATATATATATATATATATATATATATACTATTCGATTGTAGTCTGGCCCAGACTTTCTGGGGACGATTGTTCGACTATTTCTGAATCTGTTTTGACTCTTGTTGTTTTTCTTTCAAAATCCGCCTGAAGAAGGAAATGCCCAACCTAAACGCAGGACCCCGGCTCCGAGGTGAGCGCGTACCAGGACCAGGGCCTCCAGTTTTTTCTCGTCGGCACGGCGTCCTACTTTGTGTTTCAGCTCTTCCTGGTGGTGGCCGCGACCATCGTCTTCGCCAAGCTGGGCCGGGCCTGACTGCGGCACCAGCCCGCTCCATCCTCTACTCAGCCAACAGCGCAGGGTAGAGTTCCGCCCTGGATCCCCGATCCTTCCTCATGCAGTCGGGGCGCTGAGGAAGGAACTCTTTTTCGTTGGGGAGGGGCTCCGTGCACTTCAATTGTTTCACAGCTTGCCTCAGGTTTTCCTGAGGTTTCCGATGGGCAGTCGAAGCTGAACTTCTGGAGAAAAGGGGCCTCGTTCCTTATTCAGGGTTCCTTGGGTCAGCGCACCGACTGTACCCCCTGTGCGCGCTGCCGGCGTTGCGCGCGCGCGAAGGCCACTCCCTCGCGGAATTCGCCCGCGCACAGCAGGGGCGGCGCCCTCGAGCGCCCCGCCGCGCCAGCCTGGCCAAACGCGCCGCGCGCGAGCGGCGACGACCGCCTCGGGGCGGGACAGCCCCGTGCCAGCCCCCCCTCGAACAAAATAACGTGCGACCTGGTCATCGTCTTTTAATGCATTGTTTTGCCGATCGGCGCGCCCCCCCCCCCCCTCCCACCCGCTCCCCTCCCCTCTCCCCCATGGAGTAGATCTTGGCTGTTTTTTGGCGCTTCTTCCGAGCGGGTGGAGTCTCCCCCAGGGGCCGCACTGCTGCAAACAGTGACAGTGAGCAGATGTCCAGAGCCAGACCCCCCCCCCCTCCCCCCCCCTTCCGCCCAATGGCGAAACGCCGAATAAGAAACCGCTGACGTGCTTTGGCGTTCGTCGGCGTCCTCGCTTTTTCCGCGTGAGGCGTCCCATCGGGGAAACCTTAGACTCGAGAAGGCCGGAACTCGGGTCTAGCGTTTTTTTTGACGACCGCGTCCTGGATTTTGACGGTTCCGTTTCCGTGGGATGCCTGCCGCGGGAGCCCGCGTCAAATTTCAGGCTGGGTCTCGTCATTTTTATGATTGCCCCCGTCAGGCCAACCCGAGTCCCCCGTACGCGAGTCTTACGTCTCCCCGATCCCAGAGATGGCCTCGCCTTCGAGGGTCGGAAGGAGTTGCCATTTTTTTTGCGGCGGAACGGGGGCGGCGGAAGCCCGCGGAAGCAGAACGAGGCCGCCTCCGCGGGCGGACGGCCAGCGGAAGGCTGGCGGACGGCGGCGGAAGCAAAAGCTGCGCCCCCAAGAGATGACAACGCTTTTGGGTTGGAATCCGCCACATGACCCAGACATGATCGCGTCGTAACAAAAAAGCAGGGCGGGAGGTTTTTGCTAGTTTTCGGCCTCGGGGGGCCCTCGCCGGGCCTCGGGACCGTCAAAAAACGACTCGGGAGGAAAAGCCAGTCCCTGGGGAAGGGTCGGGACTTCCAGGGACGCCGTCCTGAAAAAATCAGGACGTCGCATGTCCAGGGAGGCGTTCCAGAAAGGGCCTCTCGCCTTCGAGGAGCGAAGGAGCTGGCATCTCTTCCTCCCGGCCGTGCGGCGGAAGGCCGACAGGAGGCGGCGGAAGCAGATCGAGGCCGCATCTCCGCCGGCGAAAGCCAGCGGAAGGCGGGCGGCAGCTGGCAGAAGCAAGAGATGCGTCCCCAAGAGTCAAGCAGTGGCGAAGCGTCCTGGCGTGCCTACAGGCCCACCAAACAGTGTTCTAAGAACCTTTTGTGGTCTGCACGAAATGTTCGTAGAGCATTTCTGGCCGAGACTGTCGTGTTTGAATCAAGACACATCGGGTTTATGTTCTAAGAACATTGCTTTTGTTCTTAGAACATTTCTGGGTTCTAAGAATATGTCGTGGTAGGCTTACACGAATTCCTGGACGGTCGGTCCCTGCTCAAAAGAGACGACAACAGTTTTGGGTTCAGAGGTTCCGGAACCCGCCACATGTGGCACGACTCTGTTTCGGGCGAGGCTAGGACGAGGATATATCCGTTCCAGAGCGTTCTGGAACGCTCCGAGAAGGCCGCGGCGCCCGAGAGATCCATACTCAGCTAATTGGACCATTTCAGGGGCTGTTGTGAACCTCTTTTTTTGGCCAGCTTCAGGGGCAGCTTCTGCTGCTGCTGTTCCTCGTCGTCGTCGTCGTCCTCCTCCTCCTCCTCCTCGTCCTCCTCCTCCCCCTCCTCCTCCTCTTCCGCCTCCCGCCCCCCCTCCTTCTCCTCCTCCTCCTCCTCCTCCTCCTCCTCCTCCTCCTCATCCTCCGCCGTCGCTGTCCGCCGCCGCCGCCGCCACCGCGCCGCCCGCCGCCGCCGCCGCCGCCCCCCCCCGCTGCCGAATCGCCGCCGCCGCAGCCGCTGCCGCCGCAGCAGCTGCCGCCACCGCTGCCGCCGCCGCCGCCGCTACCGCCGCCGCCGCCGCCGCCGCCCCCGCCCCCGCCGCCGCCGCTGCCACCGCCGCCGCCGCCGCCGCCGCAGCCGCCGCAGCCGCTGCCGCCGAGGTAGCCGCCGCTGCCGCCGCCGCCGCCAAGTGTACCCTGTATTGATTTTTGACAGGGATGGTGGGGGGAGGCCGCATCGGGTTCGCTGCGCATGCTTCGAATTTGGAGGCAGAGTGTGTGTTTTGTTGTTTGTACAATGGATGGCGTTTTTTTTATTGGCTCGGGTTGGCTCCCAATCGCCTGGGGGAGGGGGCGTATACTAACAGGGAACAGTGATAACCCCTCCCCGAAGTGGAAGAAAAGGGTTGGAAAAGGAGTCGCCTCAGACCACCTTCAGCCCTAAAGGGCTGGTGGGATACTGTATGTATGTCTGTTTGTCTGTCTGTATGTCTGCCTGTTTGTCGGTATGTATGTATGCATGCATGCATGCGTGTATGCATGTGTGTAGGTAGGTAGGTACGTATGCATGCATACATGCAGTTGTAGGTATGTCTATGCTTGTGTACAGATATACATGTGTATGAATATGTTGGTATGTACGTATGCATGCATGCATGTATGCATGTGTGCATGTATGTATGTATGTATGTACGTACGTATGCATGCATGTATGCATGTATGTGTATATATATATATGTATATGTGTGTTTGTGTGTTTAAGTATCACCCACAGGGTGCTTGCACTTAGGTGGTCTTGTTGCTCACTCAGGCATCGGATGGGTCCGTCGAGGTTTCGCCGCCCGTGGTCGCCTCCCTCGCCGCCCCGTTTCCTTTTTCGCCGCCGCCCGCTCGCCGCGTGCCGCGCCCCCGGAGCGCCGCCGCGGACGCCGAGCCCCAGCGCCTCGCCCCCCGTGCGCCGCCCGCCCCCCCCCCTGGCGCCTTTGAGCCCGCCGCTGCCGCCGAGAGCCCCGGCCTGGGACTTATCCTTGTTACTCAGGGCGCCAGGGGCGGGGGTGCAGCAAACGGGGGCACGGGGAACGCCGTTTTCCACGTTTGGCTATGCCCCCGCTTAGGGGGCCCTGAGCGCCGTAGAGGGCGGCACGGTAAACGGGGGTACATGGAAAAGCCCAAGCCCCGTTTAGCTAAACCCCCGTTTACGGAGCCCCCATTCACCGAGCGCGCTCCACTACTCGCCAAGTGCCTATTCGCAAACGTTCGAAGAGCACTGGTTTGCCTCGGTGTGATATATCCTGCATCCCCCGCGGTGGATCCAGGCCAGTTGCGAGTAGTTATTCTGCGAGTAGTGGAACGCGCTTGTCTACCCTTGCAGTCGGACCGAGGTACGAGATGGAGGTCAGTTCGGGAAGGGTGCCCTAATGTGTTTCGTGTTCGTTTGACGTTCTCGTGCGTCCTGGAAAGGATGCCCTTTGATGTTCTTCCCACACTGAGTGCTTGCACTGAAGGGGTCCTAGCGGAATTTGAAAGATTTGGCGAAAGTTTCCCGCCGATTTTGGTAGCAGGCCGGGTTTCCGGGTTCCCAGTTCCGGATTCCCGGGTTCCCAGTTGTCGGTTCCAGGCCGATTTCGGTGGGTTCTGGGTTCCCGGGCCCCCTGGTTTCGGGACGATTTTCTCAGCGAAAACCATCCTTTGATTGGGTTTTTGGTTGGTGTAATATTCTGTTCGATTTGGCCGACGCAGGGTCTCTCATGTTTTTGAGGGATGTTCTTCTGGCTTCGGTCCGACTGCGTCTCCACGCCGATCGTGAAGATGCCTTTCCTTTCTGAGGGCGCATCCTTAATGTCGTCATCGCATTAAGGCTCGTCGATCTTAGGGACAGGGTTAGAAAACCCAGGGTTCGCTAGGGACTGGTCTCCCTCCAAAACGACGAAGACCAATGAACAACTCCCCGAAACCTTTTTTAAACCTCCGGGCGCTGACCTAAGGGCGGTGGGCGCATGCGCCCCTTGGTAACAGGTACCATGGTAAGAGCCGTGGGCTCTCACCGCAGCTGTGGGCACCTGGCACGGAGGAGGAGGAGGAGGAGGAGGAGGAGGAGGAGGAGGAGGAGGAGGAGGAGGAGGAGGAGGGGAGGGCGGAGGAGGACAGGGGGGGGAAGGGGAGAGGGAGGGAGGACGAGGAGCAGAAGGAGGAGGAGGAGGACGAGGAGGAGGACGACGACGACGACGCGGGGGAGGGGGGGGGCGAGGGAAGGAGAGGTGAAGGGGAAGGGGGAAGGGAGGGGTGGAGAGGGGTGGAGAGTGGGCCCTCCCTCCCCCACCCTTGGGTCCGCTGAGCTCCGCGAATTTGCGTTCCATAGGGGGGCGCGCATCCGGGTGCGCCGGAAGATGTTTAGAACCGCGGGTTCTAAACATTTTGAACGCTATGTTGCGTTTCGAACCGGCGGTTCGATGTTTCTTCTGCGTCGGGTTTTGTTTAGAACCATCTGTTCTAAACATCTTCAGGGCCACGTAGTGTTTGGAACCGTCGGTTCTAAAGATTACGTGGCCCAGTAGATGTTCAGAACTGCTGGTTCCTGATATGTTGCCACGTTGCGCTTCGAGCCGGCAGTTCGGCGTTTTCTTCTGCGCCGAGTGCTGTTTGGAACCCTCGGTACCAAGCGTCTACT